TTTTAACTAATGTTGTCAACTATAACTAGTGCTTAACTCGTGTGGTGCACGAGAAAGTAATATTAAAGTTAAGTTAAATTTTGGACTAAACAAACATATTAAGGCTATTTTTTCAAATTAAATGTTGAACTAAACGATCATATTAAGTTATTTTTAAAAATTAAATATTGGACTACACGAACATATTAAGCAGTTGAATAAACCTAATATTGATTTTATACATATTCTTTCAATGTATACATAAAAAATATTGGTATGTCTATTGTTTTGAGATCACACACGAATTTCAAAATATTATCTCATTTAAATTTCTCATTTGTTTATCAATCTATTATTTGCCTTAAATTTTAAAAATATCATTTACTTTATCAATTAGATAAAATTAATGTAAAAAATATATTAATGAAATTTTATAATTCAATTTTTTTAATCACCTCTTAATAATTTTAAATTGAAATTAATTACACATATTAATGTATCTAAAAAAGCGGGAGAATGTCTGCATCTGTTTTTATAAATTTTTTAGATAATAGATTAATAAATATTGTACAGTTTTTTGAAAATATTGAAAACCATATCTTATTTTTCTTTACCTCATTTTCACTTGAAAAATTATGTATACGGATTCTATTATGTAATATCACCGATTAAATGATTGTATAGATTAATCAAAATCAAAATATGAATGTTGAACATAAAGAAATGACATATATACATAGAAGGAATAAATTAAAAATTATAATGGAGCAATTTTTCAAAAGAAAAATAAAAAAGAAGAAAAAAGGTATCTATGTAATATGGACAACAATAATTATTCATATGTGTTGCAGGTTTCCAAAAAAAACAAAAATACATTTGCAAGGAATTGAACAAATTGTTATCAAATATTATCAGATTTTGTAGTTAGAATTATTTAGAAAATTTATTTATCAGATTTTAAAGGCAGTAAAATCAAAAATATTATAGAATTTCTATATTTAGTAAATTAAAAATTTTAGGCTTTATTTTTTCTCACTATTTAAGGTATATTTCAGTCTCTTTTTATATTAATAGATAAAGATATAAATGCATTCACAGGTGCGTTGATATCTATTTTAATATTAAAAAATTATAGCATAATATTTTCAATATGGTATATAAATTGTGTGATTCAATGAAATACATTAATATATTAAGGAAATATTTCATCCATCTTTTAGCAATAAAGGTTTTACTAACTTCCAAACATTGTGTATTATAAATTTTAATGGTTCAAGCTTTAGTTTTTTAAGAAATAAATAAATCAATAGTTTTATTAATTGATGAACGTAATTACATAGTCAATATATAAAAAATAAGAATAAGTTAATTTCATTTTAGAAAGTATTTACGGCAAAAGACATTAATTACTTACTATTAATGAATATAATATAATTTAAATAAAAATATATATCAGTAATTGCATTCAAAATCTATGTCATATAACACTAATTTCAGTTTCAATTGGGATTATGTATGATTTAAAATTCTTATTATGTAATAACTAATTTTTAAAATACTTTTTGAATATCATTTTCTGAAATGTAAAGAAATGTTAATGATAAAAAATCTTTATATTCAAATATTATTGTTTTCTGATATCAAAATTTTCACAACATTTGCATATTATCATCTCAATATTTATTTTATATTCATTATATAAACTTTTCCAGTATGATCTCAACAATTATTTTATATCTACAATATAAACTACTCTTTCACTTTCCAGTATCATATCAATATTTATTTTATATCTATTATATAAATCTACTCTCGCATAATTCTCGGTATCATCTCAATCATTATTTTATATCTACTATATAAATCAACTCTCAATTATAGTTTTATATCTACTATATAAATCTACTCAAAATTACTGTGACTAATAATTAATATACTTTTAAACATCTCTCATAAAATTACTAATATGTTATATACTTTTATACATGTTTGGACAAATTACTAATATTTTAAATACTTTTATACACGTTGTTTGGACAACTTTTTTACACATTTTATAGAATAAAGTCTATACACACGCACATATATAGAGAGAGAGGGAAAGAGATGTTAAATTTAAGTGTCCTTGTACATGTATTGTTTACAAATAGTTTGCAAAAATTTTAGGTGACTTCACATTTTGTAAGAATAATACATAATACTTTATATAATATTACATATGTTATATAATATTATACGTATTTTTAGTATTTTAAACATACATGTTTTATGTTCTTTTATACATGATAATCTTATATTGTAAACTATATCACATATTAACCCACCATATTTAATTTATAATTACTATTTAATATTATTTACTCGTGTATCACACGAGCGCCAAACTAATGCAAATAGAATAAGATAATAAGAGGTAGAGGCAGTGGAGATACGTCGTTTTTATAATCATTAGTCAACCAATTCATCTTTCAAATATACATATTTTTATACCCAAATGTCATATTGTAGAATACAAAAAATAAATCCATGACATTTCATTGTATAAGTATATTATTTTCTTTAAGAAAATAAATATGGTACCGAATGACGCGCGCATTTGTAAGTTGGAGATATATTAGTTGATGAATATTAAAATGTGTAGTAATATTTTTTTTCTTTAATAAATTTATATTGTTAAAACTAACGTGGAAAATATGATATGAATAAATAATGCAGTCATTATTGAAAACAAAAACCCCAGTAAGATAATAACCCTTTTGGTTTCATATCCAATACGCACCCTAGACACTTTGGGAACACCTTACACCTATTTGGTGGGTTGAGCATGATTTAATATAAATCCTAACTCAAAAAATCCAATCATTTTTAACTCAATTATTTTTTTTAACTCAATTTTAATTCAATCCCGATATCATCAATATTATCAATATAATTAAATAATATCAATCAATCATTCTTACACACAACATCAGTCTTAATTCACTATTCATCAACTCACATAATTTTAACTAATCATCCGATCACATCTTCTCTCTCCTACTTTTATTTCAATTTAATTTTAATCATTTTATTTTAAATATTACTTTTAATACACCCACTAACAACTAACCATACCAACTTTTTTAAATTTAACCAACCAAAACAAAAAATTCAATCAAAACAAAAACTTTTTATATCTAATCATCCACTTAATGATCTTTTACGACTTTCTAATTTTATTTTATTTTTTTTCAATTTAGTTTGAGTTCTTGAAAAAATTCTTTGGGGATTATGAGATTTGGTGTATGCAATTTTTTTTTAGAAACAAAAAATCAAAAGTTCAAATAATAAATAAATTTGAATAGTTCCTAATTTTTTTTTAATTTTAAATGAAAATCTCAAGAGTTGCTATTGGAAGTAAGTTTTTTAGATTGAATTTGATTATTGAATCACGTGAGTTAAGATTGAAAGACAAATGATTAGGTGAAGAATTGTATTTGATTTGAGTTTATGGAATTAAATATGATGATTGAATTTGATATAGTATAAAAATAATGAAATGACAATTTTAGATGAACTTTTTTTTTCCAGAACGATAGAGATATTATATAACTAAAATTCGCACAAAGTGCGAATAAAAAGCAGTCAAAAGTTAAAGAGTACAACTAAAGGATGAATAAGACTGAGAGGACAGATCCGAGGATCACTTAGAGCCTAAGTTAGCAACGCTAGAAACCAAACTCGCAATTGCCCAAACACAATTGCACAAACACAACGAAAAACCTACGAAAACGATCCCAACAGGATAATGCCCGAGTGTACGTTTCCAACAGGATAATAAGTTCACATTCGGGCGAACAGAGGCTAACGGCCCAAACCAAAAATACAAGTTCTAAACAACACAACACAAACGACACAAAATTAAAGAAAACAAAATAACCACATTCAAAGCCCTTACCCGGCAAACTACGGGCCCAACCAGTAGAGAAACAATCGATCCGGAAAAAGATAATTAAAAATATGTGAGTAGAAAAATAAAAAAATTTTGTTGTAAATTATGTAGTAGTCATTTAGCTTATTATTTAATTATACTGATCTATGTAAATTGAAAAAGGTTGGTGGAATAATCTAAAATAGTAACTTTGACTTTGTAATTAAATAGATTGACTTACTATTAAAGAAAACATGTATTTATAAAAAAAATAAAAATTAAATTATCAATACCTATTGTAAATTGTGCAATCCGATTAACAGTACGACTTTCTATACAAATAAAGTGGTATTAATTCTAAAAATTATTTTGTCATAATTATCTCAATAAAAAAATGATTCTTCATAAAAATGGAGAAAATGCATATGTTCTTCGCTGATCCTTTATGAAACAAGAGGTCTTTTTTCATTCCTTAGGTAAACTTTTATTTTCTAGTATAGTGGATAAGACTTCACCCTCTATGGATTTGGGTTTTAAGGAGAAGTTCGAGGATATTCTGAAACTGACAGACTCTGATAAGAGTCATAAATACTTGTGTGAAAGTTATGAGTTGGTCAAGGAAAATCTGCATCCGACGTTCGACAATACGCCGATTGAGACATGTAATCTATTCAGAGGGTTTACCCTTATTTTGTTGCTATTTTGCTTGCTTTTCATTTTCTTTTATTGTTGATTTATAGTGGTTCACCTAGCGATAGGTGTTGTCGAGGTGGCTTTGTCTCAAAGACGGAGGTCCAATAGGAGAATCAAAAGGTTGAGGAGAAAAAAAAAATTAAAAGGATCGTCCAGACTGGGGGTTGCATCAGCCGCACAGGGATCTCCAATTCTAGTAGAATCTGTTGTGGGATCGCCACCGAGAACAGGGTTGCGACGGATCGCCCTGAAGCAGCGATCGGTCGGGTCGTAAAAAAAACTAGCAGGTTGATCATAACGGAGAAGGGAGGAATCTCTCATTCGCGATCGTCTTTTTATCGCCCCACAGATTATGGAATTAGAGACCGACTGCTAAGACAGTGTGTTGGAGGAGGCGAAGATAACAAGGGAGGTCGTCATGGAGGACGTGGTATCTGAGTCAGGGGGAGATCGCCAGGATTTTCCAGAGGAGGATTGCCAAGGTTTGTTGCTGAAAATAATGAACATGTATCAGAGGTGGGTATCCAATAGTCCAAGCCACCTCCACGAGGTGAGTTCGATGGATCGACGTCTCAGGTGTCGACTATAGGCTATCTGTCATGGATGCTTCAATATAAAGGGTCGCACGTAACTTTGAGAGTCACAGGCCTGACTGGTATTTCAACTTTGTTCGCTCTGAGATTCTGCAAATCTCAATCCTCATGGTAAGCCAGAGGATATAGTTAATCTTGCATGTGTTCTCATGATGGTATGGACCCGCGATCTACAGGCGAAGGTCTCGTCAATGACTGCACAAGAAAATTTGCAATGATCACTGCCCACATGATTTTGGCACTAGGTTCGGCGATTCACAGGTCCGACGAGGCATGGAAAGTAGCCACCTAGTTGAGGAGACTTAATGCTAAGCATAGTAGTTGCGAGTATTGATAGAAAGTGTTGGTAGAACGATTGAATGTTGTGAGTGAAGAGTACATGAAGGTCTTTGAAGAATTAGCAGCGATCACCGTGAAGAGGGATCAACTTATGTCAGATTTGGAGTACACCAGCCAGGAAACAAAGGTCATGAAGAAAAACCATGAAGCTATTGTGCTATATTTGAAGGACATGTTGGCCGATGTTCGCCGAAAGTTGGAACAGAAGAAGGCCAAGGTAGAAAGGGTCGCCGTCATATTATCCAAGTAAATTGAAAAAGGTATGGCGATCGACATGGTGCAAAAAAAAAAAANCAACCTTGCTAAGGGTAAAGACATTGGTTCGTTGGAGGGTACAAATCAGGGTGAAGAAAAGGGGATAGAGATCGACAAGGAGACAGAGGTCGCCGATACTACGGAACTTGTGGAGATGAAGCGATTCGCATGCCTTCGTTGGGTTCTGAAGACTTTAGAGAAGGTCCAGCACCTAAACTTCATTAAACTTGTTCATGCTCTAAAGAAAGATCGGCTGGAATAGATTATTGATGAGGATAGTGAGCTAGATACAGACGCGAAAGCTATGTTAATGATAGGTGTCGAGGCTCTGGTTCATGCGCAGTCGATCTTACAATTTGATCCTAGCTCAGCCTTGGTATTGTGGGCTTCCTCAAAAGATGTGAATCCCCCATATGAGAAGGCTTCGAATTCACACGGAGTGGCTTATAGTAGAGGCAGAAAGCCGACCGATCTTTAGTGTCGATCCCTATTAGTTTAATATGTCGACCAATTATGGTCTTTAGGAAAATATATTTTTAGTTTTTTCAAACGAGAATGACCTGATTTAAGTTTGTTGATTTGTAGCCAACTTATGGCTAAAAATATGTTGTTTCGAAGACTTTTAATGAAACATAGTATTTTATTTTGCAAGCCTTATATTATGGTTAAAATAGTGTGTTTTAATAAAGATTTTTGAACGGTTGGAGATGCCTAAATTGGCCTGTTTAATGTGAAATTTAAGTGTTAGATTGGACGATTTTAGATCGGTGTATATGATACTGAGCCTTTGGGTTTATACTCTATGGTGTTGTGGCCTTAGGTCGGTGTTAACCGCGAGTGTTTTTGAGTTTATACTCCACAGTTTTGTGGCCTGAGGTCAGTGCTAACAGTAAGTGTTTTGTGTGTTTAGACTTCACGGTGTTGAAGCCTGAGGTTTGCACAAACTGTGAATGATTTGTGTATTTATACTCCACGGTGCTGTGGCCTAAGGTTGGTGCTAACCACGAGTGTACTATGTTTATACTCCACGGTCTTGTGGCCTGAGGTCAGCGCTAAACGCAAGTGTTTTGTGTTTATACTCCACGGTGTTGTGGCCTGATGCCGACGCTAAGCGCATATGTTTTTTAATTTATACTCCACGGTGTTGTGGCTTGAGTTCGGCGCTAACCGCGAATGTTTTGTTTGTTTCTACTCCATGGTTTTGTAGCTTGAGGTCAGTTCTAACCGCGAGTGTTTTGTGTTTGTACTCCACGGTGTTGTGGCCTTATGTCGGCGCTAACCACGAGTGTTTTTGAGTTTATACTCCACAATGTTGTGGCCTTAGAGCGCTATTGTTTTGGAATTATGAAGTTTTACAATTTGTTTTTCATGAAGGTTGGCGTGCTTTCATGAGAAGTTCGAATGTTTGGAATTCGTACTGATGGTTTCGCCTAAGAAATTGCGTTTTATCGGGGGTATAAAGTGCTGTGTTTATGTCTGAAAAGATGGCATTTTTATGGTTTTTAAATTGTTTAATTAGAAAAATGAAGGAATTTATTCATCGACCATGAAGGGTCGTCATGATAAAAATGGGGTTTTTGACGATCATCTCTTTAGGTTTTTCGAGGAGGTCGTCCTTCATTTTTTAAGAGATAACTATAGTCTGAATCTTCGTAAAGCGGATATGTGTCAACCAGATCGTCATTCGTGAGATAGGTGATGAGTCGCCCCATGTTCTTTAGATCATCTCACATTCTATATATTGCTCGTCATGTATGGAATCATCTTACGTCGGGAAGTTGCATATTGAACTATCGCATACTGGATTGTCCTAAGGAATTTGTCACGACCGTTTCCTTTTCTAGGGGAATTGCAATACTTGGTTTGCATGAGTTGGATTGCAAGATCATCGTCAGTAGGATCACTAGACATTATATCAACATAAGTTGGATGACGTTGTTTCTTTTTCTGGAATTGTCATAACTTGGTTCACCATGAGTTGGATCAGAAGATCATTGTCAGTAGGATCAACAGGCATAAGATCAACGTAAGTTGGATGAGTTTGTTTCCTTTTCTGGAATCATCATAACTCGGTTTGCCATGAGTTAGATCGCGATGTCTTCGTCAATAGGATCCTCAAATATAAGATTGACATAAGTTCGACCACTGAAAGCATTCAATTTCAACCCCTCTTGTTTTTAGTACCGCAACGGCAATGCGATTACATAAAAAATACAAAAAAAGTACAACAATCGTATAAGCAGTACAATCAAGAATACAACGATCGTGCTAGAAATATAAGAAAAAAATTACAACTATTTGAATATGCAAAGTTGTCATGTAATTCCCAAAAATCAGGTGGGATACATGGAAACATAAGTAAATTTGCTTATATGTACACGTTTTTATGATGTTAATAACTTTGTGTATCCGTACATATGTAAATCAATCCTAGAAAAGGAAATCTTCATAACATGATTGTTGGAATTTAGCTCCGATCGGGCTTTTGTTATTTGCACTTGTAAGTATTGATCGATAGATTGAGTTTTGCCAATGTCTCCTTCGCAAGATTAGATTTTATTGAATCGTTCTTTAGTACATCTTTGCATAGAACAACTTTACTTTTGTCGATCAGGCAACTTTTGTCGATCGCGGAGGCAACTTGTGATCTCGGCTGACCTTGTCGGTTGGGATCGACCCGCAGAGAAAAATTACTCCACAGTGTGTGACTTAACCTGGCCCTCGGATATGTAGTGGCAACCCAAGTTGGCAATCAGAACGTCGAATGGTCATGATCAAGAATATATAATTGACCACCCAAGAATTACAGACTGATTGCTGGGTTGGATATTACAAAGCCTAAGGACATGATCTGGAAAAAACTCATATGGGATATTTATTGTTAGATTTCAGGCCCTTGGCTCTTTAGAAAGTCATCGTTAATCTAGGATCGAAGAGTTCTACACCCTGACGCTCTTGTCGAGGGTGAACTAATCGATTTGTATTCTTGTAGAAGACGGGCTGACATATGAATTGACAAGAGTCTCTCGATCTGAGTTTTTTTATAATGGGAGGAGGCAAAAAATATAGTATTTCGATACCTTTATTTTGGTAGAGTAACAGGATGAACACATCCGGAGGGTCGGTTGAGGCGCCCTTTCTTCCGATCAATCATGAAGCAGAGAAAGAGGGTCGGTTGTGATGCCCTTCTCTCGATTGTACTTAATATAGATCGGAGGAGCGATAGAAAATGTTTAAGGTTAAAAAAAACCTGGACAAAAGTTGGCTTTTTTTAGGGGTAGGTTAAGAGGTAACCCTAAATGGTCGCCCTTCTTCTAGCGCCATTTTGTTGACGGTCGACCTCCAACAGTTACAGATGAACAACCAATAGAATTGAGATTAATAAACTGTAAAATAAGGATGAAATAAAGAAAATGAATGGACAAGTACATAAAGTAATAACACACCGGTTTTGTCCATTTAAGGATGTGATCAACAATGAGAAGGATTCTCTAGGAATTGTTTATTGAGAGTATTTTCTTTTATTGTGTATTTTTACATATGAGTGTGTATTGTTGTCGTTGTCATTGTTCTCTCTCGTTGTTGCCTTTTTTAGGGGCACAGATAGTCGTATTTATACAAAATAAAAATAAAAATGTAAGAATACAATAAATGCATCGTGCCAGGGGCATAGGGTGACGTCACGTGTATTAAGACTCGGCTTTCGAGGGTGGGACAACTTATGCAATTGTTTTATTAGTTTTAATGGTTCTACGTCCATACAAGATAGATCCGCAATATATTCGGGGAAAATTCAGGATGAGATCGATATCTTATAAGGGATTATCTAATATTTGCCCGGTCTGGTCATAGTGTGCCTGTTTGAATTATATATGAAAATTCATGTACAACAGAGCTATATATAATTTATTTTATTTCATTGTTGAACACATTTATTTCTGCACAGAATAATTTCCAATGCTATGAGATACTTATAATCTTATTAATTTATACTGTATATACGTAATTATGATGGAAATATCATTTATAACATTGTGTATATTTTCTTTTGCAGTAATATTGATGGTCATCTTTATAAATAAGACTATTGGAAAATTTGTCAGTAGACATGGCCAAATAGTGGTTCTAAGTCTGGCTACAGTTTTGAAGGCCCTGAACAGGCAGTTTCGAGCCGGTTCATGAACCGCCGGTTTTAAGGCCAGTCCGATTTGTTAAAAAATAAAAAAAATATATAAAAATTGAACTCTCAATTTTGATTGTGGTTTGTAACCAGCCCGACAATTCAGAAAGTTAAAAATATGTGGTTCAAATCAGCCTGGTCAAACCACGAGTCCAGTTCAATGCCCGTTTTTTTGACCAAGGGCCGGTATCGAACCGGCACGTCTATTTGTCATATAACCATGTGTAGCAATGAGTGGTTTCCTTTTGTTTATTATAGAAATTGTGGAAAAACTTAAAATAGAAATAATTTCTTAGAATGGGACTTTTCACAGAAAATTTTACACGTGTTCTACAGGACTTTGGTAATGGAAATTGTCTGTTTGCGATAAAGTAGGGAAAGATGGCATTAAAATACCGAGTAATATAATTGTCGGTATGAAGTATAAACATATGTGGGAATTGTGATAATACCAGGGTTGTCCTCTAAAATATTGGGCAAATATAAAAAAATACGGAATGAAGAATTGATTAATAAATAAAAATAAAATAAAAGAGAAGTTAATATAGTACTATTCAGCCTTTGGCTGCNNNAAAAAAAAAAAATTATAATTTTATTTGAATTTATGCCCGTCAAGTGTAACACTCACTCATGTTCTTATTTAGTTTTTTTAGCATTAAAAAAAAAAAAAATTATAATTTTATTTGAATTTATGCCCGTCAAGTGTAACACTCACTCATCCTTGTAATAATTCTTTAAACTCATATCATATGATAAGTTTGATAAATAAATTTGTGTAACTAATAAATATTAAATTTATTGTTTTCTATTCAAACTGATAAATAATTTAATAACCTTTATTGTTTTTTTACTATTTTCTATTTTAGTTTATAAACATTTTAATTTATATTCATAAACGTAGATTAGAATTTTGTTTATTTGATGAATTTAGTGTTCTATAATTTTCAAAGCTCTAATAATCGTGAATAGAAAAGTTCAGATCTATATGGACAACTCTGAACCATATTTTTTTTTATCCAACGATTCAAAGTAACATTATAGTCCGCACACGAGCCTACAAAGGCTAAAACACACTGAGAGGCACATCCTAAGATGGCCTAAATCACACAAACATAGACTACTCGGGCAAGTTCATAAACCTGACATCCCCAGCAGCTAACCCCCAACACAGAGACAGACTACATAATAACACCCACTACTAAAACTACACAACGTAGAACAACAAGGAACCAAGAACAAATAAAACACAGAAAACTACTAACTATCAAGCCTGCACTACAAACAAACTAATAAGATGACATAAATTCTTGCCAATCCAGCCATGCCTGCCTCACTATCACTGACTCCGGTTGTCTCTGCCCTTCAAACAGCTAGAAATTGCGTGTGCGCCATAGCCACCATAAGATATGCGTTGTGAGCTAAATACGAGCCTCAGACGTCTCTGAATTGTTGGTTGAGCACACTTGCCACCACCATTGCCTGAAATTCCCTTCTTGCTCATCTAATTTAGCTCTTCTACAATACAGGAATAAGTGCTCAACAGTTTCTGCCCCTTCACCACAAATATGACAGATTCCATCCACATCTATACCTCGAGATTTAAGGTTTAATCTAACTGGTAAGCTACCATTCACACACTTCCACAAGAATTGTTTCAACTTACCTTTGATTTTAAGTTTCCAGCTTCTTTCTCTTATCTTCCAATTCATATTTGCTGATGAGCTACTTTCAGGTTGATCCAATTGCAAAATTTTCCTGCTCAACAACTTAGAATAAGAATTGGCTACTGAGAATTTACCATTCTTGTCCAAAGTCCATCTCCACTGTTCTTCTTTTGTTGGATTTAGGGAATTGAGCTGCAAAATCGACTGGCTGTCCTGATTTGAGAAGATCCTTTTAACTTTCTCTAAATTCCACCTGCTACCCCCATTGCACATCAATTCACTTACCCTGAAACTCTCAGCTTCTTCAATACTTGAGATCAAAGGCCTGCTCATGTTGCAGGAAGGAATCCACCCAATCTCTGTGAGTAGAGTATCCCTCACATTCTTGCATATAAAATTACTAACCACCAATTTTTTTTTTCGGAACGATAGGAAGATCTTATATTCACAACAAAGTCGAAACTAGAGATCTGCCACTCAGCCGAATAAGCAGCCAATGGCCGAATTAGTTGAATAGTTGACTCCAGTAGAGAGGACTACACAATACAACGTATACCCGTAGGTAGCCTAGAGTCAACCTACCCAAAAGCACACGAACTCCCAAAGGGAGAAAGAACACACAACCTACAACACGAAACACACAACGCCCAAAAAGAAGAATAAAACCCAAAGCTCCCAACAGGAGAATACACCAAACACTCCCAATGAGAGAGGAAAAAGTAAAACACGGACAGAACAAACCAAACATCAAAGCACACAAACTAGCAAACAAATTAGACAACTACAAGAAAAACAAAGAAACTAAAAGGATGACTGTCCTCCCCTCGAACCGAACGCACGCCGCACCTGCACCACTCGAGTCGAGACCCAAGCAACCACCTGCCACTGAACGCCAATCGACAAGATCAATGACCTACCCGAGTAGCCACCACCGAGTCAACTCCTAGGAGACTCGCGATTAACTCCACCCCGAAGGCAACGAACCAACACGGGCCGTGTCGGGAGCCACCACCGGAGGACCCCCCCAAGCCCAGCACTAGGGCGAGAAGACGAACGGAGAATAGAATAGACTGATTGTCTCGACCTCAGCCACCGACGCACTGCGACCGGAGCCATCTTCGTCACACTCTCCCGTGAGCTGAAAACACCTATCATCCTCCACAGCCAACCGTAAAAGGCGAGACGCCGCAGGGGGAGGGGCAGACGGCCAGCGGGGAGGGGCGCCAAAAGCCTAAGAGCTGATTCAGAGAGATGGGGCCGGTGTGCTGGAGGAAGGGAGGCTCCGTTGAGCCAGATTACCCTAGGTTTTTTGAATTGGGGGAGAGAAATTTGTAGAGAGAGAAAGTCTTGTGATAGCTTTATTTGAAAGAGATTTGCACCTAAAATTACTAACCACCATTAGTTGACACATAAGCTCGAAAATTGTGCACTAACATATGAAAGGCATATAAATTTCTAATATCACCTTTTATATTAACTCAAAACGTGTTATGTTGAAGGTGTTGAAAATGGTTATGGCCGTTATGAACATTGGTCACAAGAAGCTATCGAAGTCATGCTCACGCTTCTACATTATGTTTCTCGTTTTCTGTTTTAGGCATTAAGCTTGATGACGTCGTCTCTTTCTTGTTAGAACAACGTCGTCGTATTCACGTTTTCTTTCTTCTTTTTGTTAAGTGCTACGACATTGTTTCCTTTGTATTTTGCATGCGATGGACTGTACATATTGCCAGTATGTACGTACCTTTCATTTTTAGCTAAGAGAATTAGGATTCAAAATATCTTGTTTCTTTTGGAATTTCCTTTCGAAATTGAGTGTTTTCTACGTGGCATCTAGAGTAGTAGATCATGGAAATATTGAGTAAGTTGAATTGCCATCAATGGCGATGAAGAGAGATTGTTCTTTCGAAGCCATTGGATCGGGGTTGAAGGAGGGAGGTATGCTACATGATCAAGGTCCGTTGCTTTAACATGGTTCCAATCATCCTGGTATGATGTTAGTATCAAATAAGCTAAATGGAAATAATTTTCTGTCTTCGAGGAGATCAATGATTATTGCTCTTGGAACAAAAACAAAACTATGCTTCATAAATGGGGAAATTTCTCAACCGAGTCTAGATGATGATGATTACGATGTTTGGAAATATGTTGATTAGATGATTTTGTCATGAACTTTAAATTCTTTGTCCAATGATATTGCCGAGTCGTTTATATATGCTGAAACTTCTAAAGATCTTTGGAATGATATATGTCGAATATAAATATTTGACCAATCATTGGGGGCAAATAAAAAATTACACATCACAGGTGAACCCCACCACTACCCCCACTAACCTACCCTCTCTCTCTCACACACATACACAAACACACACAATACAGACCTACATACACAACAAACACCTACACACACAACACACTTTACGCACATATACACACAATCTCAAAGGAGCCGCCGCCACAAGCATCACCGGTCACATTGCCCCCGACACCAGCCCGCTGCTTTCGATGTGGCGAAACTCTTCGATTCCGGCACTATACGTGGCCGAGGTGGACGACCGAGAAGATCGGCGACTGTGTTGTCCTCGACGCCCAGCGGTGGTTTTTAAGGCTTAATGGGCCGCTGGAACGTCGGAGGTGGCGGATCTCGTCGAAGGGCTCACCAGTATTTTAAGTACCGTACCAGCAATCATACCGAACGAGCCCTCAGTACACAGTTCAACCGGTTTTACCGTCTATTCTACCGGTTTAATAAATATTAAGTTAATTTGTTATTAAAATATAAATAATGTATAATACTAACTTTAATAAATACTATAATTAATTAAAATATAATCACAATGTAAATATATTAAAATTAAGTGTAGAACTTTTAATTTATATAAATAAGCTAATAAAAATATATAACTTTTTTTGTAAAAAAAAAAAAAAAACTGGTATAAATCGGTATTTGACCAGTATTTTCCAGTAAAACCGCTATAAAGTGATACTTTGGCCAAAATGGTACTTAGAGGGTAACCGTACCGGCCGGACAACTGGTGTTCGGTATTACCAGTAATACCGATCGGTACGATACGTTATTTTAAACAATGCTTTTCGCTATTAGGGTATACTGTAAAAGCTCGAATTTCAGCTTCTGACAATACCATTTTGAATGAGAATTATGTTTTAGTCAAGTATTTGTGTTTATAGTTATTTTAAACATTCTTTTTTCCAAAATGATAGATAATATTATAAATTAAAATGCACAAATGTGTGAATACACAGCCCCTAGCTGAATGGCTGAATGGAACAGCCAACAACTGAAAAAGTGGGAGGAAAGGTCAGAAGACCGCCTAGAATCCCGGAACTAGCAAGGCTAGAAAAATAAACTCGCAACTACACTAAACCAACTACACAAACAAAACAGAAACTACTAAAACGATCCCAACGGGATAATACCTGAGTGTCCGATCACAATAGGATAATAAGTTGAAACTCGGACACACAAAGGCCAACGACCCAAACCAAAACACAATACCTAAACAACACTAACATACGAAAAAACAGAAAATAAAAATTAAAAAACCACATTCAAGCCCTTCCCCAGCTGGCAAACGAGCCCGGCCCAGGAAAATTCAGAGTCCAAGTACTGCTACAGAAACTGCGAAACCGCCTACACAAGCAGCTGAAACTGAGTGCCAAACCTAGCCGCAGAACGATTCGCCCCGAACTGAGAGAATGACGACACCAACTTCCGCACCTTCACAACCCGAATTCATCTAACACCACTAGTCAAACTCAGTTGCTCCGGACCCCACCCGACCCCAACACTAGAGAACCGGGGGGGAAAGAGAGAGCAACATAGTCCTACAATTCCTGTTTCTCCGACGAAAGACGCCACAATAGCCGAAGCCCCACCCCAACTGCTGTCTGCCGGCAACCAAAACTAAAAACCCCTTCAGAGCCCCACCGGGAAGCGAATCCGCTCAAGGGGATCCCTCCAATCACGGAAATTTTGGATTTAGAAGCCAAACACCTCCAATCGACACCCGCCAACAATCGATACCACCAATCGCTTGACCAATCAGCGACCAAAGAGCTCATCCCCTTCAATCGCGATTTTGCCGGCGACCAAGGCAGGGACAGGATGTCGATCTCCGATTCACCATTGCAACAACAGATGATCGAGGAGACAGAGGGAAGGACGAGTGATCAAGGGCGACTGCGGGCCAAAGCTGCGCCGCCAGCGAGGAAGGCAAAACAACGCGAAGGGGGACACAGTCGGTGAGGGTTTGTTTGTTGCGAGAGAGATAAGAGTTATCTTTTGAAAATATAAAATATATAATATAATATGTTAATTTGTTGAAAATGTCTTATGAAAATTAAATATTGAAAAACATCATAAAACATATCTATATAAAATGTTAACAGCATCAAAAAGGTTATATAACATGTGTAAAAACATGTAAACTAATATATAACATGTAAAATGTATAAATGTTCTATATTATTCTAAAAAAATGTGTGAAATGACCTAAAATTTTATGAACTATTATTAAAAAAAATATTTCTAAATAATTTATGATGTTCGATAGTTTTAGAATATTAATTTTATTTGTGTACGTGATGTTAGACTCTGTAATCACTTTAATTTAAAAAGTGCAAATCTTATGGATTAAGATTCTTATTATAAATTTATGTAAATTGGTCTTTTAATAATTCATATGTAATAAAAACTGTCCTCTTAAAATTTTTAAATCTACAAGATATATGATATTTTAATGGGACTTTTATATTCTTTAAGACTTTGTCTTTTAAAAAAAATAAAGTAAAAATTAAGAGAAGATAAAATTGGTAAATATACATCTAAATAAAATATAATAAAATTAGTATATATAGAACTATTCATTAAATTTTTTGTATAATTAAATTTCATATTCAAATAATAATAGATTGATTTTATATTGAAAATCAAGAATCATTTTATCAAAATTAAATATCAGAAAATTCGTTGTGTGACACATATTTTCTATTCAAATTAAAATCTCATCAATTTGTAAATATGTTGGGTGATTTCGTCTTATCGAATTATTTTCTTTTTCAATATTATTTTGTATGATATTTACTATTTACTATCTTCTTACTCTCTCCATTTAAGAATCAATGTCGTTTGAATTTGTAATCTTTGTTTTTTACATGTCGTTTTAGATGTATTTATATATATTATTGTTTTATCCTTATCATAAATCCTAAAAAGTCTCATATTTGGTTCCCATTGTAAAAAAAAGTCATGTAAAAGAAAATAAAAAAGGAAATAACAATACTGATAATTTCAACGTAAAGGGAGAAAGGGAGAGTTCATATAAAAAATAATAAAATCGAATATAAGATATTTAGGTAAATCATATAAAAATATAAAATAATAGTTTCCGTTAAAATTGTAATTTTAGTTTACTTAAACTAAAATGACACTTTGTAAAACAAAAGGAGTATGACTTGTTTCCTTTTCCAATATTTATCCTAACTAATTGTTCGTTGGATGTATACAAAAATTAGCTATCAGTAATCCACATAATATGAGATTCTTTCTAAACTGTATAAGATTTTGTGGTTAGATAAATATGATCCAAAAAAATATCAATTAAGTTGAACAATCTGAAATATAAAAATTAATTTATGAAATTAACATTCTTTATTAAATAAATACAAAATTTTAGTGGTGACCATAAAATATGAGATTTATAGATAAATAAATATGGATAAAAAAAATTAACAATAAGTTGGCATGACTTTTTGGAAAGATACAAAACCATCCTAAAATGACATAGTTTTATGAATGGAGACTATAACATCTATTTTAGTTTTTAGGGCAAGTATTCTGAACGATGAACAATGGTCTAGATTGACTATTATCATTTTCTTTTACATGCTTGAACAATGGTACGACTACTTTATTTTACCAAAAATTTTGGACTCTCATTAAGCCTGAACTCATTTCTGTCATTAAATGCTTCTTTAAGAGTGGACTATTACTTAAATGTTGGAATCATATCATTATTACATTGATTCCAAAATGTGAAAATCCTGAGTTTGTCTCTCAATTCAGACCAATCAGTCTCTGTATAGTGATTTATAAAGTGCATTCCAAAATCCTTGCATTGAGGCTAAAAACTTGTTTGACTGCTTGCATTAGTGATTTCCAGACAGCCTTCATCAATGTTAGACAACTTCTGGATAAGGTTATTATAGAACAAGAAGCTTTTCATTACCTTAACAGGCACACCTCAGGGAAAAATCACTTCATGGCTCTTAAGCTGGATCTTGTGAAAGCATTGATCGAGTGGAATGGCTCTACATCAAAAAAACATGATTCAGATGGGATTCTCTCAAGAATTTGTCAATCTTATTATATTTGCATCTCTTCCGTTTCATACTCATTTAAAGTGAATGGAGTAGTCAGTGGGTATGTGCATCCTACTAGGGGTATCAGACAAGGGGACCCTCTGTCCCCTTATCTGTTCATTATTGTTGCTGAATCACTGTCTGCATTAGTCTCTGCTTTTATAAATTTTGGGCATCTAAGTGGTATGAAACTTTCAAACAATGGACCCCCTCTATCCCATTTACTATTTGCAGATGACTCACTATTCTTTTGCAAAGCTGATGTTGGGCAGGCCAATTCTCTTCTGACTTTACTAGAAAAATATAGATTGTTCACAGGTCAACAAGTCAATTTGCAGAAATCAGCTATCTTCTTCAGCAAAAATGCACCTCAACCTCTTCAAGCTAGAATCTGTGAAACTCTGCAGGGTATCTCATCCCACAAATCAACCAGATATTTGGGGCTCCCCTCGGAATTGGAGATCCAAAAGGGATGCTTTTTAGTTTCTCTTGGACTCTGTGAAATCAAGACGTCAAAGCTGGAAATCCAAACTTCTACATCCAGCTGGGAAAGAAGTACTCATCAAGGTTGTAATCCAAGCTCTCACAATTTTTTTCTATGTCATGCTTTCAACTACTCACCACATTGTGCTCAGAAATCTCAAAACTCTATTCTAACTTCTGGTGGAGCAAGGGAGAAGACCAAGGTTCAGGGATTCAATGGAAATCCTGGAACACCCTCACACTACCAAAACCTGCTGGAGGACTTGGATTCCAAGATATTAAAAACTTCAACAAGGACCTCATTTGCAAGCAATTATGGAGGATAACTACCCAACCTTCTCTATTGGTCAGCAGGGTTTTGTACGACCGTTATTTGCCAAATTGCTCTATAATTGAAGTTGTTAAATCCCACAACTTCTCTTGGCTCTAGTCTAACTGGTTTGATGTTACTCCTCTTTTTGCTAAAGGGTTTGCTGTGGAAATCAGAAATGGAGCCTCCACTAGGCTAGCTGATGTCAACTGGGTTCCTAATATCCCCAAATGCAAACCAACTTTACTGGAGATTGCTAGAGGCCACATCATTTGGGTTAAGGAGTTATTGAATGCTTTAGGCTTAGGATGGAATGCTTGGTTTGTCTCCCAACCTTTTGATGAGGCATATTGTAGTGCTATTCTTAAAATTAGCACTCCCAAACCAGATATGAAAAACAGACATTATTGGCTTTTTGATAAAAAAAAAAAAGGTCAATTCTCAATTGCTAGTACATATGCCTTTCTGTCCAAACAGAAATTGTTGGCTCTGGATCTTCCTTGCAACAATACCTCCTCAAGCACCCTTAGCTCTATATATAACATATATTGGAAACTTAAAGTGGTAGGTAAGGTAAAGCACTTTAATTCGAAGTGCATCTCTGGGACTTTACCTGTTAAAATGAATCTGTTGGAAAAAGGCTTAGACATTATGAAATCTGTCAGACCTGTGGTAGTGTTTCAGAGACTATTGAACATGTGTTTTTCAATTGTACAATGGCTAGCAGGTTGTGGGATATTGCACCTATTCAATGGGATGGTTTGCATTCATCATCTTTCTCTTTCAGGTGCTGGTGGACCCATATGTGTTCTCTTGATACATCAGATGTTGCTGAGGTTTGAATCCAGTTGACCACATACATACTTTGGTGGCTCTGGAAAGCACAAAATCTTTGAATTTTCCAAAACACCTCATTATCAGCTACTCAGATTGTCAAAGCTGCTCATAAACAATGGTTGGAATTCCATTAGCTTTAGTGATTCTCTAGTCTTGGGTTCTTTGTTGTTTATTAGTTGTTGTTATTCGGTTCTGTACTTTGGTTGTTGTAGCCTTAGTAGTCATACCTCTCTAGGCTTTATGCAATGGAGAGTTGTTAGTTTTCTTATTGTTTCTTAGTATTTGTGAGGTTCTAGGCCGCCGTGGTGCGTGTCCTCCCATTTTCTTCATTTTCTAGTTCTCGAAAGTTTTCTAGTTCTTCATTTTCAGTTGTGTTTCATTGTATCCGAACTATTATATTTGAGTTAATAGATCNTTTTGAACTTTCAGAAATTTGGTAAGAAAATTTATAATTAATTTAAAATTCTCTACTTATTTATTTTTTAATAAACTGATTAATAAAATAATTATGATATTATTTTATAATTAAATTAATTATAATAAATTAATATTAAATAATAGACAAATTATATACAGAAAATAATTATAATATAAAAATAAATAGATTTTTAGCCAAAAGACGTGGTTTGTGTGTGAAACTAATAAAGGTTGTGTAATAATGTAAAAACGAGTTAACAAAATTACTATAGATACCCTAACATGTGTTTATATTTTAAATAATTTTTCATATTTATAACAAAATACAGTATAATAAAAAAATTAAATATATCAGTAAAGTAGACAGACCTAACGATTAAACGTTCATATATCTCAACTGGTATACTTCACTCAAATTGAATTGTCATACTTTAAAAAATAAAAATAAAAGTATGATATTTTATTGCACAAGTATATATTTTTATTAAAAATAAGTATGACTAACCAATTCGTCTAATTGATATTTCGTTATCATACAATAATTTTTGTGAACTGATATTTCAATTTAATAAGCATCTAACCAATAAATTTTATGATAAGTTATCAGTTAAATGAAATTACATCTAACCTAAAATATCATATGATATATAAATACAACTTGAATAAAAAAAATATTTATAACGAATATTAGACGAAAATTAGACCAAGTTTATACGTGTATATATGTGTGTATATATGTTTAATTTTACCAAATTTATAACATTATGATTCATCCACATCACGCATTGGGGGGAATTTTAAGATTTTGTAGTTATGAACTTAAGATTATACATCTTATGTGATTCGCTACACATTAATTGGTTGATAAATTATTCAATCGCAATTTTTTGAGCATTAATTGTAGCTTGAAGACAAAAAAAAAAATATAGCTCATTATATATAATATGAAACTATTAATTTAAATCAATTTATTTCTTAAGTAAAATAAAATATAATTTACTAAAAAATATTTTTTATGTTATTAAAATATTTCTTATGGTTATTAAAATTTAAAGATTGTGTACCATATGTTTGTAATGGTTCGTGAAAAATAAAATAGTATTTGAATAAAAAAAACTAAAATTCAACAAAAACTTGAATTTTAATATTTATTTGTAACTCATGAAATTAACTGTAATTAATTAGATTAAGTGAAAAAATCAATATGAAAACTATGTCATTGGAAAATGGACGATAATATGAATAATATTTAAAAACTTTGATAACATATATCAACTGAATTATAGCTGTTTTAGTTCGTCAGTAAATATAATGACAAAGAATGATTTTTTTCAATAAGATAAGAAGACAAAATTGTAAACTATCACATCTATTTATATATTTATTCTTGTAAAATATTCAATTTAGTTTTATTGTGCGTAT